TACCCCCCGATGCTCAAAAACCAAGCCTTAATAAGGTGGTGGCCAACATTCGAGTTCGGCACAAGCTTAATTAAAATCAAGATTGAGTCAAACAACAAGCTAATTAAAAACTCGTAATTTCAATGGGACGCTCAATGGTTAGAAACTTAAAATTTCAAATTAAAAATCTCAAATTTAAACTTTAAGTTGGATGAGAAAAAATTTGGAAATAAAAGAGGTTTATTCTCTTTCTTATAACTTATAATCAGATATATCAAAAAAAAAAAAAAACTAATTAAAAACTCATCTTGTCTGCATTTCACAGCCACTTGTAGACAAATTAACCATCAGAATAAGCTAAGGCTATTGCCAAATGACGGGGCGTATAATTAATGCCATATTACCACATATGCTCTTCTTCCTATACCAATTATTAAGAGTGTTCATATTCGATTCAATTCGATTGATCGAATCTAAATTGATTTAATTTAATAAAAAATTAAATTAAATAGATATAAAATTAAGTTAGTTTAAATTATAAAATTTTTAAATTGATATAATTTGTTTAATTTATGGTCTTTAAACTCTTCGAACCATCCGATGATAAAAAATATATATAATTACAAAATAACTAAATTAAATAATATAATATATATTTGTAATATTTTAAATTTTATTTTTCTTGTTTTACAAGATAATAACTCTATTAATTTAATTACAAAATAAAAATAGAACATTTTCATATTCTCTATTTTATTTTTCCTTCTTAATTATACACTCTAACCTTAATTCTAAATTTTAATTCATTTGCATCTTTATCTCTTAGAATTGGTCTGCAACTCTATTCTTAAAACCCTAAATTTCTAATTTGTTCTTCAAATGCTATTCCAATTCTTTTAGCTAAGTTTTACAAAAAGTGTTATTCTAAAAATCTTAAAAGTGCATAATAGAACTAGTCTTGTTATTCCATTATTTTGGATGTTTGGTCGAGGAGTTTTACATCTTAGTTGTAAATGCTTCTAATAAATTTTAGTGATATTTATATTAAATTTTATTTATTTTTAACAAGTTTGGAATATGGAATTGAATTATAGGTGGATTAAGAAGAAAAACTAATTTTATCCCTTAAGAATTACTTGCACTGTATTTGAAACTTGAAGTCATCTTTTATTAATTTTTGTGCTTGTGATGATGTAGTCGAGAATAATTTTCAGATTTTTTCAATTTTTATAATTGTAAACGAGTATAAGAATTTGTTTATAATTTATACTTTTTATTATATTTCTTATTATTTAGATGTTAATGTGTTTTATAGTTAATTATGATATCTACTTGATGTTAAAATTGTTTACATTATTTCATATATTTAATAGTGTTAAAAACAGATTAATCTGATCGAACCACACTGATTCGATTTAAGTTGAATTGGTTTGATTATCATATAATAGTCGATTGAATTGATTTAAAAAATATTAAAATTTGAATCAAATCACACCACGAACACTCCTAACATTTATTATTTTTTAATTTTTTATTAAAGATTTGATGATTATTTATGTATTTATTTATATTATTCTTAAAAAAATAAAATAAAATTTTTTGTGATAGTATAATTAATCAAAATAAATAAATAATGATAAATTTTAAATAAAAAATATTTATTTACCTTAAAATATAAAAAATGATAATTAATTTAAAATAAACTTAAAATTAAAAAATAACAGTTATTTTAAGAAAGAAGAGTGTAAATATGTCTTCAAATCATTAACAACAAGAGCTTGCGACCAGAATCATATGTGACTTCTCCAAGAAAACAAACTTT